TGGCACATGACATGAGAGACTGTGGACCTGGCAGCAGCATGAAGAGGCGGTATAGGGCCCATGGCAGATTAGGGGCCTGGCAGCAGCTATGGGAGGCCCGTAATCTGCCAGCACCCTATGTCAAAAAATTCAACACACCAGCAGTGTGTGAGGAGACCTGAAAAGTGGCACATGGCAGAGTGTGGCGATGGAGACAGCAGCAATGGGAGGCCGTACAGGGACCCATGAGAGACTCTGGACCTGGCAGCAGCATGAGGAGGCGGTATATAGGGGCCTATGGCAGATTAGGGGCCTGGCAGCAGCTATAGGAGGCCCGTTAATCTGCCAGCACCCTATGTCAAAAAATTCTACACACCAGCAGTGTGAGGAGACCTGAAAGTGGCACATGGCAGCAGAGTGTGGCGATGGAGACAGCAGCAATGGGAGGCCGTAAAGGGACCCATGACAGACTCTGGACCTGGCAGCAGCATGAGGAGGCGGTATATAGGGGCCTATGGCAGATTAGGGGCCTGGCAGCAGCTATGGGAGGCCCGTAATCTGCCAGCACCCTATGTCAAAAAATTCAACACACCAGCAGTGTGTGAGGAGACCTGAAAGTGGCACATGGCAGAGTGTGGCGATGGAGACAGCAGCAATGGGAGGGCCGTACAGGGACCCATGAGAGACTCTGGACCTGGCAGCAGCATGAGGAGGCGGTATATAGGGGCCTATGGCAGATTAGGGGCCTGGCAGCAGCTATAGGAGGCCCGTAATCTGCCAGCACCCTATGTCAAAAAAATTCTACACACCAGCAGTGTGAGGAGACCTGAAAGTGGCACATGGCAGAGTGTGGCTATGGAGACAGCAGCAATGGGAGCCGTACAGGGACCCATGACAGACTCTGGACCTGGCAGCAGCATGAGGAGGCGGTATATAGGGGCCTATGGCAGATTAGGGGCCTGGCAGCAGCTATGGGAGGCCCGTAATCTGCCAGCACCCTATGTCAAAAAATTCAACACACCAGCAGTGTGTGAGGAGACCTGAAAGTGGCACATGGCAGAGTGTGGCGATGGAGACAGCAGCAATGGGAGGCCGTACAGGGACCCATGAGAGACTCTGGACCTGGCAGCAGCATGAGGAGGCGGTATATAGGGGCCTATGGCAGATTAGGGGCCTGGCAGCAGCTATAGGAGGCCCGTAATCTGCCAGCACCCTATGTCAAAAAATTCTACACACACCAGCAGTGTGAGGAGACCTGAAAGTGGCACATGGCAGAGTGTGGCGATGGAGACAGCAGCAATGGGAGGCCGTACAGGGACCCATGAGAGACTCTGGACCTGGCAGCAGCATGAGGGAGGCGGTATATAGGGGCCTATGGCAGATTAGGGGCCTGGCAGCAGCTATGGGAGGCCCGTAATCTGCCAGCACCCTATGTCAAAAAATTCAACACACCAGCAGTGTGTGAGGAGACCTGAAAGTGGCACATGGCAGAGTGTGGCGATGGAGACAGCAGCAATGGGAGGTCTCCCATTGTCCCAACATGGCCCAAATAGTCCCAACATGGGCCCCCTGGCCACGCTTGACTTTCTGGCCACATAGTCGACATACGGCTACGTTTACTTCCTCGGGCGGCTTGACGAAAAATTGCCACACCGCCGAGTAGGAAACTTTGCCCCCGATACTCCTCACTGGCTGACTGCTGCTTCCTCCGTGCACACCGGCACCACTACTGGCCGTGGTGGTAGGCTGCAGTGGAGCTGGTGCTCTACTCCGTGGCCGTTTGGCTCCACTGACACTGCTTCCACTGACACTGCTGCGACCCTGCTGCTGTCTCCTGGGCAACCCACCGACTGTTTCGCTCACTGCCAAGCTGCCACCCTCTTCTCCTGATGATGCGGAAGAAATTGCCTGATGACGACGAGGCTGCCAAGTGCGATCAACCTCCTCATCATCAAGTAGGGTCTCCGCCTCACTAGCCCCCTCGGCTGCGTCTGGGTCAGGAGACCGACCTGTCTCTAGACCGGCTACCGGGCCACTCTCCTCGCCACTACTTCTTCGCCTGGCTGCTGAAAAGGCGGATGTCTCCCCCCGTTCCTGACCGCCCTCTGTTAGCTCTTCCTCACTGTACAGTGGGGCTGAGCCCACAGCATGCGATACTTCGCTTGGTGAGGGAACACCAAAGGACAGGGGCAGGTAGAGGACACGTGATTTCAGTGGGCTTGGTCCCGGGCCATGCCAACTAACGGTTGTTCTGACGTACCCACCGACCGTTGGCTGTAGGTGTCAGAGGTGACCTGGGAAGAGGAAGACGACCGAGCCAACCAATCGATGACGGCAGGGTTGTCGGTGGAGACACGACCGCTGGATGACACCGGGAGCACTGGCCTCTGGCTGCGAATAGTGCTGCCTCGACCCCTTCCTCTGCTGCCACGTCTGCTCGCTCCTAAAACATTGCCTCCTCTGCCACTCCTCTGCATGTTGTCTGACATACTCTTTAATTAAACGATTATGTGTCCCTGAGTAACAATTCTGTGTCCCTGAGTAACAATTCTGTGTCTGTGCGAGTAACAATTCTGTGGCCCTAAGTAACAGTTCTGTGGCCCTCAGTAACAATTCTGTGTCCCTGATTAAACAGTTCTGTGGCCCCAAGTAACAGTTCTGTGGCCCTCAGTAACAATTCTGTGTCTGTGCGAGTAACAATTCTGTGTCTGTGCGAGAAAGCAATTCTGTGGCCCTAAGTAACAGTTCTGTGGCCCTCAGTAACAGTTCTGTTTCCCTGAGTAACAATTCTGTGTCTGTGCGAGTAAGAATTCTGTGTCTGTGCGAGTAACAATTCTGTGGCCCTAAGTAACAGTTCTGTGGCCCTCAGTAACAGTTCTGTGTCCCTGAGTAACAATTCTGTGTCTGTGCGAGTAACAATTCTGTGTCTGTGCGAGTAACAATTCTGTGCCCTAAGAGTAACAATTCTGTGGCCCTAAGTAACGGTTCTGTGGCCCTCAGTAACAGTTCTGTGTCCCTGTGTAACAATTCTGTGTCTGTGCGAGTAACAATTCTGTGGCCCTAAGTAACAGTTCTGTGGCCCTCAGTAACAATTCTGTGTCCCTGATTAACGTTTCTGTGGCCCCAAGTAACAGTTATGTGGCCCTCAGTAACAATTCTGTGTCTGTGCGAGTAACAATTCTGTGTCTGTGCGAGTAACAATTCTGTGTCTGTGCGAGTAACAATTCTGTGGCCCTAAGTAACAGTTCTGTGGCCATCAGTAACAATTCTGTGTCTGTCCCTGAGTAACAATTCTGTGGCCCTAACTAAAGTTTCTGTGGCCCTAAGTAACAATTCTCTGGCACTCAGTAACAATTCTGTCTGTCCCTGAGTAACAATTCTCTGGCACTCAGTAACAATTCTGTCTGTCCCTGAGTAAAAATTCTGTGGCCCTAAGTAAAGTTTCTGTGCCCGTGAGTAACAATTCTCTGGCACTCCGTAACAATTCTGTCTGTCCCTGAGTAACAATTCTCTGGCACTCAGTAACAATTCTGTCTGTCCCTGAGTAAAAATTCTGTGGCCCTAAGTAAAGTTTCTGTGCCCTGAGTAACAATTCTCTGGCACTCCGTAACAATTCTGTCTGTCCCTGAGTAACAATTCTCTGGCACTCAGTAACAATTCTGTCTGTCCCTGAGTAAAAATTCTGTGGCCCTAATAAAAGTTTCTGTGGCCCTAAGTAACAATTCTCTGGCACTCAGTAACAATTCTGTCTGTCCCTGAGTAACAATTCTCTGGCACTCCGTAACAATTCTGTCTGTCCCTGAGTAACAATTCTCTGGCACTCAGTAACAATTCTGTCTGTCCCTGAGTAAAAATTCTGTGGCCCTAAGTAAAGTTTCTGTGGCCCTGAGTAACAATTCTCTGGCACTCAGTAACAATTCTGTCTGTCGCTGAGTAACAATTCTCTGGCACTCAGTAACAATTCTGTCTGTCCCTGAGTAAAAATTCTGTGGCCCTAAGTAAATTCTTCTGGCCCTGAGTAACAATTCTCTGGCAGTAACAATTCTCTGGCACTCCGTAACAATTCTGTCTGTCCCTGAGTATGAATTCTGTGGCCCTAACTAGCGTTTCTTTGTCCCTAAGTAACAGTTCTGTGGCCCTGAGTAACAATTCTGTGTCTGTGCGAGTAACAATTCTGTGGCCCTAAGTAACAGTTCTGTGGCCCTCAGTAACAGTTCTGTGTCGAGTGCGAGTAACAATTCTGTGTCTGTGCGAGTAACAATTATGTGGCCCTAAGTAAAGTTTCTGTGGCCCTAAGTAACAATTCTCTGGCACTCAGTAACAATTCTGTCTGTCCCTGAGTAACAATTCTCTGGCACTCAGTAACAATTCTGTCTGTCCCTGAGTAAAAATTCTGTGGCCCTAAGTAAAGTTTCTGTGGCCCTGAGTAACAATTCTCTGGCACTCCGTAACAATTCTGTCTGTCCCTGAGTAACAATTCTCTGGCACTCAGTAACAATTCTGTCTGTCCCTGAGTAAAAATTCTGTGGCCCTAATTAAAGTTTCTGTGGCCCTAAGTAACAATTCTCTGGCACCCAGTAACAATTCTGTCTGTCCCTGAGTAACAATTCTCTGGCACTCTGTAACAATTCTGTCTGTCCCTGAGTAACAATTCTCTGGCACTCAGTAACAATTCTGTCTGTCCCTGAGTAACAATTCTCTGGCACTCAGTAACAATTCTGTCTGTCCCTGAGTAAAAATTCTGTGGCCCTAAGTAAAGTTTCTGTGGCCCTGAGTAACAATTCTCTGGCACTCCGTAACAATTCTGTCTGTCCCTGAGTATGAATTCTGTGGCCCTAACTAGCGTTTCTTTGTCCCTAAGTAACAGTTCTGTGGCCCTGAGTAACAATTCTGTGTCTGTGCGAGTAACAATTCTGTGGCCCTAAGTAACAGTTCTGTGGCCCTCAGTAACAGTTCTGTGTCTGTGCGAGTAACAATTCTGTGTCTGTGCGAGTAACAATTCTGTGGCCCTAAGTAACAGTTCTGTGGCCCTCAGTAACAGTTCTGTGTCTGTGCGAGTAACAATTCTGTGTCTGTGCGAGTAACAATTCTGTGGCCCTAAGTAAAGTTTCTGTGGCCCTAAGTAACAATTCTCTGGCACTCAGTAACAATTCTGTCTGTCCCTGAGTAACAATTCTCTGGCACTCAGTAACAATTCTGTCTGTCCCTGAGTAAAAATTCTGTGGCCCTAATTAAAGTTTCTGTGGCCCTAAGTAACAATTCTCTGGCACTGAGTAACAATTCTGTCTGTCCCTGAGTATGAATTCTGTGGCCCTAACTAGCGTTTCTTTGTCCCTAAATAACGATTCTGTGGCCCTCATTAACAAGTCTGTGTCCCTGAGTAATGGTTCTCTGTCCCAAGTAACTTTTCTCTGTCCCCAATTATCGTTTCTGTGGCCCTAACTCTGTCCCTGTCCCTAGTACAGAGCGGTCTGCCTCTGTTCAATAACTGCAGGCAAATGAAGAATTCCAAAATGGCCGCTATTTATAGCTCGACCATTACACAGTGCTGGCTGGCTGGCTGCTGATTGGCTGATGCGATCACATGTAGTTGAGGAATGCATTATGGGTCAGCGCGCCTTGTCTGCGCGCCTTCCCCGACATCCCCGCTCCGTCGCCGCACATGTCAGCCGCCATTTTAGGAAAAATTTCGATTCGCGCGTCCGAATTAGGCTATTTTTCGGATTCGGCACGAATCGAAATTTTTTCCGATATTCGACTCGAATTCCACTTTGGATACTTCGATTCGCTCATCTCTAATTACCATCTATGCATCTGCCAAGTAAAAGCTCTGCTATCTTACAGCAAACACATAATACTGTTTTGTTTATTCCACAGTTTACCAAAGATGACATTTTGCCTTAAGAGCTTTCCCAGCTTTTTCTTTAAACTGCCTATCACAGTGAAACAACTATAGCCATCATCTGTCATGTCTGACTGTTTGATGACATCTAAGTGCCCAACAACAAGATCAGTGTTTCTGAGTATGCCGATGGCTGAACAGGGAAGCATTGTATGAATAAATATGCACTGCAAACCATTTAAAGATGAAAGAAGATATTTCCGCTCAATGAGAACATCTTGGTAGGGGAGATTGT